ATTTAAACGGATATTGTACATGGTGTTTAACAATGCAATGGAGATAAAAGCTCTCTATGTTCCATTCAAAGCTAATGCTGATGTATGTTCAGCCCGGTGTCTGGGTAATTGAGGTAACTTATTAACTATTTGACAAGCATAAATATTGCGTAGTTAGCATCAAGTTAATAAATCTTTTGCTGAAAACGTTTGAAACCTACTTTAAATGGAAACATGATGGATATACATATTTCATGTCAAAATTATCACCAACAAGTACAAGCATACTATGGATCAGGAACAGTGCACAACTTCATCTTGAAATTGTGACATATCAAAAATTTACGTGCAATTGTCCATGGAACAAGCATTCCAAATTTTATGCTATGATCATATTTAAATTGGTGGAGCCTTAATTTTTTTAAAAAAAGATTATAGTCCCCTCGAAGACGAACAAGATAAGCCCTGGTCAAATAATGGAAAATGTCAATAAGTTATTAATGTTAGGTTAGGTTTTAAGTCTGAATGTGACTAAGCTCAGTAGGGTGAGTTATGCAGCTTTGCAAAGGTGAGTCCTACACTGACAGTCATAGAAGCACAACTAACTAAGGTAAATCCATTTTTCACAATATTTTTGAAATCCAAAAGTAAAATATCTGAAAGTCAGCAAATTCAGGTGAAACCTAAGTTTGGCTTCAATTCCTTATTCTTTCTAGACACTTTTCATATGTATGATGTACTATCCTGGTAGCTTAGATTTTCAAAAAGTGTGCCCTTAAGTCAGTATAGTTCAAAAGAGTCAAACTTGTACATGTACAGTTCAAATATCAGCATTATTTTGACCTTTTATTAAATCTTCTAATAATGAACTGAAAGTCACATAACAGTGGCTGAACGTCTTTCAAGTCAAGTTGATCTGTTCATTTGGTATTTACAGATTTTGAATTTGTTAGCATTTTAGGAACTATAATATCATATCTAATTTTGTACTCTCACATTATTATTTTTGAAGTCTGGATATGTTTAATATTTTTGAGCCTTAATCAGTACAATTACAATTACTGCAGTAGTTCTTAAAAAGCCAGGTGGTTACTTCCAGAGTTAGAATCAGGCAGTGTGTAAATCATTATTAGAGTTAATTTAAGGTCTGCTGTTTAATAGGGGTTATTGTGGAGCTTTAAGGGTGTATTCTACAGATTAACAACTGTCTGTTCAATCTATTGTTGACTTTGTTTATGGACTGTCCGATCTAAAATCAGCAAGTCAATTAAAAGCTCTGACAATGGACCCACGGCTCTTAATGTCCATTTGATGTTGTCTGATGACGATATTTTGGTGAGTATGGAAAGACAAAGGGAGTCCATCAGGTGTAACGAAGCCAGGTATGAGGTGATCACAAAGAACATTAACCTTACTAGTGGAGGTCAACTCAAGCATCAAATTAAACCTCTACATGTTTAATGACTCAACAAACCTTCTTTCTAGTCTTTTATGGAAAGACAACTCTAATGGCTCATAAACAAACCTTACACAACTTTCATTTGTTACACAGACTTTTATTTATTTTGAACTTTGCGCAATTACAGTAAAATGTCTACTTTATGAGTTACTAAAATAAAAATACGCTCTCTACATCATTGTTAAAGTGTTTTTTAAGCAAACGAAAACCTTGGTTTAAGAAAGTTTTTCTTGCAAGGAAGGCTTTTTATATTTTTCTTACATATAGAACAAAACATTTTGAAAATAACAATTTAACTATTGGGTTTATTATATGTCCACTTACTATTTACCTGATATTAACTTTTGGGGCTTTTTGTCTAAAATGAATATTATGTATAGTACAATATTTGTATGAATAATGAAATGGGCTTGATAGTTGGTTACTAGTATTAGCAATTATATTACTATACTCGAAACAAAACATTTATTAATATCAAGTCTGAACTTGTCCTAAACCACACTTCATGTTAGTCATATTAATAAGACTTCCATTACTTACATTGTTCTGGGTGATGTTGGGGGGTAGTTGAAGGAGTAGATGATACTCTATCTATAATCTATACAGATGTCTAATCATGCACGGAATGAGACAGTAATTCCTACACTAACAGACACCAACCTGAACATAAACTAGCCTCAACTATTTAATTATCATTAACTGGATTACATCATGCTAATAACATGTCAATTAACAACTAATCTAGCCCTTAATTATCATCATTAATAAAGCTTTTCACGTCAGTTGTTAATCAAGTAACCAAGTGCCACTCTGTCAACTTGTCTTTATTAACATACAGTGCTCAACGGACTATATCATTTTTATCAATTTCATTACGAACATGGATTAGAAGACTCCTACTTTATTCAGATATTGATCTTATGCATAATCTCACTTAATGATCATCTTCCAACTCTCTTCATTTGTCATATTTTTGCTCTAAATCAATCTGGAGCTTCAAGAGGTTACTCTAAAATTATCTTCCTGTATACAGCCATAGGATATTTAAAATTTTAAACATTCTTTAATGTATATGACCAGCCCTGGCCAAATAAGACATGTCAACAAAGGTAGAAAAAAACACATTTGAGAAACATGAAATTAATTTATTTTTTGTGGTTTTGATTTGCCAGCATTTTTTAAATTTTTTCCATGCATACAAGTAAAATATCAGTTATTGTTTATTGTTATTTTGAATGGTAGAAATACTATTCCAATATTCTAATAGTGTTGAAATTAATAAAGGGATTTATATACATGTATGCACGTAATATGTTAGCAAAGTGATAAGGACAGATGAATAAACCTGGTATTTGTAAACATGCTAGTGTACAATAGAAAGTAAAAGTAGAATGTCTAGTTATTTTGTTGGATGAAGTAGTCTGTGTGCAGACATACTGTTTGTTGAAGTAGACATCAAGTATAATGGAAGGGAAACTATAAAAGCTATTCATCCCTTCACTCCAGTTGATAATAACTTCTTGTAAATCTCTTCAAACCTTTATAATACAACTACAACAAGTGAAGCGCAATACATAATGACTTTTGTGTATAAATCAGATGTTTGTATAACTCTTAAATAGATTTTATTCTAATTCTACATCAAACCAATATTATTATTACAATCATATGTCAACAAGACTTTATCAAAATAAAATAAACCCATTTTTATTAACTTTCAATGGGTAAATCATTTGCCAGGTATTCCCTATATTGCGTCAAATGTTTTTAAGTTTTCAGGAAAAATCACGTCATAGTATGGGATGGTTAATATCTGGTATCAAGGAAAATTTATTCAAATATTATGTTTAACAAAAATTAACATGCACCACCCAAGTAAAATTGTACTTGTGCAAAATAAAACATATACAGATAGGCTTGTAAATAGTGCAGAAATTAAAGTAGCTAAGTCTCTAACTCAGTATCATCCAAAACCTTCGACATTGAAAACACAAATTATTTGTCAATTTTAATCAACATAGGTGTTGTGATTTTACCGGGAAAAGATGGGCTTCTGATATCCAATATTTAAGACAAAATAACCTTTTTACGATTGGTACACGAATCTTGTACCTTAATGCGTTTCAGCGCAATTTGTAACAAGTGACTCGAGAAACGAGGTTAGAGATATTCCACAAGTCATGTCAAACGGTGACCCCCATATTCTTATCTGGAGAGCATGCGCAATAAATACTATCGGTGTAGACTAGAATAACCAGTCGCTAGAGATTGCCATTCAATTGAGACTTCTGGCGTATTTCACCGAACATAACTGCTTTGAAATTAGAGTAAAAGCAGAAAAGATTGAATGTAAATCAGTTTATTTACATTCATTTTACATTATTATATACATTGCAACCCATTTGTGTCAATTTGTAGGTCCAAAATATTAGTGATTTAGCTCCTTTAAGTTAATGTTTGGTTATTATCAAAAATAATTTCAACTATAAACAAATTTCATTATACTTATCCAATGGAAAAATTAAATCATTTAAAGCTTGACCCATCACTAATCTAATTTGCACATCAAATCAATCCAATTCAATGCTTTATTTTGATCAAAATAAATTAAAAAAAAGTCCCACACCTTCAACCTGCAATGTCTTCTTCATTTTATGGAAATCAGAAATAACAAAAGATTTAAGGAGATTACAGACAAACCGATTAGATTTTTGAAGAGATAATAAAAGAATACTATTAGATTTTTCAAGTAATTTAGTGGTTGAAGTTACAGACTCTAGAAACCCCAATGAAGCAGAACAACAAACACTACTAAACACTTGACTAAACTTCATCAGTATTCTCTTCTTGATTAATGACCCGTGAAGCTTGTGAAGATGACCCCTGTTGTGGGGTTAAGGGTCAAGGGGAGGGGCTTTTAAATCTATGAGAAGGGGAGGAGTTTATATATTTATTTAAGGTTTGCTACAAAATTTTATGTTTTATTTATTACAACATTAACACAGAATTCACACCATCAGTGTTACATATTAACAAGAATAGTCATCTATGTACACATGTAGTTCCTTTAAATGTTTGTGTTTGCCACCAGCTTAAGCGCTGTATATTGGTTTTGCATTGATTTATGAATTCCCAAATAATTAATTAAAATCCACCCCGATATAAGATGTTTCTGAACTGGAGATTAGGAGTTGTGGCCTCCTAATGATTTAAGCTCACTTGTCTGATCATATGGTAACCAACCATAGTGTCCTTCTTCCTTGTTCTCTAATATCCTTACAATAGTGGCCCTCTTCCCTAATATCCTTACAACAGTGTCCCTCCCTCTTACCTCTTCTCTAATAACCTTTCAACAGTGTCCCTCATACCCATTTTCTTATACCTTAACCCCAGTCTGCCTCTTCCCCATTTTCTAATATCCTATCCTAACCACTGTGTGCCTCTTCCACGTTCCCTAATATCCTAACCACAGTGTGCCTCTTCCCTGTTCACTAATATCCTACCACAGTGTGTCTCTCACTTGTTCTCAAACAATGATATATATATATATATATTGCCTTACCTTGCCATATCTCTGTGCATAAGATCCTGTTAATAGAGAGTGAAATACTATAATGGTTTCATCCAAATCCCAAATAAATACTCGTTCTAAATCTGTTTCCGGACCAGGGGACGGCTGGGCACGGGAACGACCTCTTGAGGAACGCTGACCTCTATTTCCTGCAGAAAAATGTTCATAATTATCTAATTTTGATAACATCCAATTCAGTTTCAAAATTTCTTTTAAATTTAAATGTCCAAATTAAAAAATAAAGAAAATTGCAAAAGGAAGTCAAATATTTACAAATGTTTGCAATGAAGAGGGGGCAACATGCCTTGCCCTGCCCCCCCCCCCCCAATACCCAAAGATTTACGGTAAAGTTCCAGTGTATGATATATAACATGGGTGTCAACATTGGACATTAACATCAGCGTTATAATACAGTCTCTGTAATACTAGACATTTAAAACATAAATAAGAATAAATCCATGCAAGATTTATTACATGTAGCTTTATAAAAGTCATTACCCACATAGATAATACAAACACTTTCTAATTATTCACAATGTTACATATTAATAATATTTAAAAGAATAACATTTACTAAGATTTGAATATTTTGTTATCTCATATTGACTCATGCACTTGAATGAATACAGATTGGACAAAATAATGATTATGAATAATAAATATTTTCCAAAATATTTGTTCCACCAAAACAAAGCTCACACGAAAACAGTATGATCCAGTGAACTGGTCGAAGCATGCATATTAAAAACACATGGATGCTAACATCAACTTTAACTATGCCTAAGGTGGGTAGGACCTTTAAAAACTTACTTGATTGACAAGTACCTTTTTCTAGTAATGGTGGGGAGGGGCTGGTTATATGATGGCTGTTATACTGTTGTTGTTGCTGATCACTGGAAATAGAATCTGAAATGAAAGGGATAAATTAGAAAGTGATAAACAAATTAACAGGTAAATACAAATTTGCTTGAAAAAGAGTTGTTGAGAACTGATGTTAAAATAAATAGTCAAGTTCATTCTACAAATTTAGCTAAAGCAAATTGTGCAATTTAGCCACCTTAATAAAAGTGTTGATACAAACTTTTTTTACAGCTGACTAAAAGAAGGTCACTTCTGAAGTCCAATAATATGGCAACAAATTATAAATTTCAAACCAATTCTAATTAAACTCATAATAAAGATTCAACTTATTAAATACTAAAGTACAACAAAAAAACTGATAGCTATTTGAACACCTTCAATAGGATGTTATCAGGTGTTTTTGAAACATATACGTAAAATCGAATCCATAAACATATTGCATATTAAAGTTCAGACACTTTTTCTGGTATGGACTACCTCTGCCCTATCCACTGTAAACAAAACATTGTTAAAGAACTTACTTGATTCTGCTGTAGTAGAGGAGGGGGGAACGGACAGTTGATAAGTTTGTGAAGGCACTGTAGATGATGTGGTAACTGAAGGGCTAGATATATAACCTGGATATTGAGTATAGAATCCTTGAGCTGGTGCTGGATAATTTGGAAACAGCCCTTCCATACCCTAAAGTAACAAGAATAGTGAAGATTGGATTAAAAGACAGAAATAGGATTCAAAAGCCTATGTATGGTCATCTTCACATGCAAATGATCTTAATAAGATCCTTTGCAGGAATCAATAGTGTTCTATAAACAATGATATATTTCAGGGTCTACTTCTAAAATCTATACTAGTTTTAGAAATTGCCAAAAGGTTTGATTTAAAAAATCATAACATTGTCAAGACAACAGATAGTCATCCGGTTTTCCTACTTAAGAGCATGACCCAGAAATTGAACTTCATGTTGTAAATCTTTCCTTTGTTCACAGATAAAAATTATTAAAAGTAACGAACAAACCCATCATTATTCCACGCAAAAAAAACATCAATTACCATGACAAAACATCTAGTTTAAACAAGTTTCCTTGCATTTAAGTATGCAACCAAGACCTATGATTTTAAATAATGCATGGATACATGTTTTTCTTTTCCAGAATATTACATGTAAAGTATTATGATTGACAATAACAATGAGAAACGACAATCCTAGCCACTTCAAAATTACAAAAAGTTGAGATTTAATTAGTCAAGGTAAATTGGTGACAATAACTGCTAATATATTTTAATTTTTTATTGATCACAAGGAAATAAAGAATTAATCCAAAAACTCATTGAAAGGCAGAACACGTCAGGCATTCTCAAATCCTCATTGATTATTTTGTGATGGCATAAAAAAAAAACATTGAACAATAAAAAAAAAAAAAGAATAGAATGATTCGGCAACTATTTAAAACATGAAGGTACAGGTAATTTGATACGTGAGCTACGCAGCCATTTCTGATTGCCTGGCTGGCTCTGTAAGATTTATGATGACACATAATATTAAGCCTGTCGCCTGGGACAAAAGAGAAACAACATTCAATGTCCTTGTCTTTGTATACCAGCGAAGCATTTTTTCCCTGGGTCACTGCGTTTAGGAAACCAAAGTATATAAAATTTATCATTGAGCACATTGTTTATTTCTTTTGAAAACTTCAATTATACATTTAGGAGATTCTTTGAAATACTATTTCAATAACAGCATTTTTTTTACTATGTTCATTTAATTATTCATATTGTTACGTTTATAACACATAATAATGTATGCATATTATTCATGGCACTTATTCCAATAAAAATCATGCAGTTATAATTGTTTGAAATTAAAGTTATCTTTCTTATTATCAGCACTATAACCAAATTTGCATTAAGAATTCATCTGAGTTGCAGAGTTGGCATTGAAGCATATGTGTTTATTGTTTAAAAAAATCCAAAAAAACAGGTTGCCAAGTAATGAAACATATGCCCTCATCAGCTTAGATATCCATAGGCAGTAATCAGAATTATCAGATATTTTTGAAATTCAAAAGGCTTCACTAATTTGAATAATGCCTTATAGTTTTCTACCTGTTCACAAACATCTACCAATGGAAACAAGGGCCAAAACTCTTGAAGTAATTAACATAAATTGTTGAAATTCAATAGGTGTCTTTTGTACAGATTGGATGAAAACTGAACGAAAAATGGTTAAATACAACAGATTTCATCGTCTCACCAATGTAAAGAACATGTATGAATTTTAAAAAGATCGGATGATAAATGCAGTTTTTAGAGTGTTCACAAGAAATTGTGGACCAATGATGGATGGATGGAAGAACAAATGGTGGCAACAAAATGATGCTGTGTAAATATTAATACTATAGTTTTTAAAATTTACTCAGAAAATTCTTGATTACCACTCAAATCTAAAAGTACATCTACCAGTAATTCACTGAACATAGAACAATCAATTCATTTTCATCTAGATCAATTTATTTTAGCAAGGCAGAATCCACTACTGGCATAGCGTCTATTAGAGCACATGGCATCATTTGCAAATTAAATAAAATTGGACAGGGATTAGTGTTGATGGATTAGGAAGATTTTATCCACTCATCATAAATCCCTAACATATGGCCCATGACAAAGTCTGTCAGTACAGACTCGCAGCTATGCTATAGCCAATGATTGCCATTGTTTCATATTACACGATTTATTTGTAATCTGTTATTTGGTAGGTTTGTTCATTACTCAAAAAAATAACTGGCTTCATGTTACAAAATTATATTTTTAAATTGCTGAAACCTGTGAAGTCTGTCTAGTTTCCAATTACGAGACTTATTTTAAATCCCAAATTCATATGTTTTATGATTTTCCAGGAAAGTAGGTAGGGTAATAAGAACAGATTTTTATGTTTTTTCCAAGTTTCTTTAACCTCAAAGATTAAGAGTATTCTACAATTTCAAGTCCGAGGAATAAGACAGAATGATAAACAAGGTTAAACCGGAATTCCTTTTTCATTTCAGAAAATCTTTGTCTATTCACCTAATTTCAAATATCACTGCTTTAATTCTACATTATATTATTTAAGTATTTAATCTACCCATTTGAAGTAAATAATAGAATGTAATATGAGATGTTGCTCTAGATTCTGACAGAACACATTATGGATGAATGTAGATTAAGAAGATTTATTGAACAATATTTTAATGGCAGCAATAAAATCAAAACAATTCTTCATAAAATATGAAGAATATAATTTATTTCCTGTCAAAGCTAAGAGTAGATTATTCCATTTGCTATATTGATGTTAATTATTTTCATGTGGAGCGATCATTATATTAATGCTGACCAAAATAAATCATGTCACATCTCCAATGATTTATGATCAGTTAAGTCAAAACTCTATAATTTCAGTTGTTTCATTCATTTTATAGGAAATCTGAAAATGTCCTTAATGAATAATTCTGCAGTTTCTTTACAATAGTTTTTAAAATCTGTGATCGAAAAAGCACAAATGTATAAGTATGAAAATAGAGTATATGTAAAATGATCTCTGCACCCATGTTGATAAGATGTGGTTGTGTCTCAGCAAGGTTTAGGGATAGTATCAAAAACATATGATGGTCATAAGAGTTTAGAGTTCATTTTTCTCTGAAAAAGTTACATTATTTGACACAAAATTCAAGGTTTCTATGCTTTTGAACATGAACATTATAAAATCAAGTTTTAAAATTTTGCAAGAATGCTTAATAATAAACTTACTGCTTGTGTGGTATATCCAACAGAATTTGCTGCATAAGGATTATTTGGATTATTAGCTCCTGAATAAAATAAAAGATCATTTTATTTTTTTACAATGAGAAATGAAACAATCTAATAATATAACATTCTGAATAGTAGTAAATCAAATTTTTCTTGTTTTATAAAATTTTGTATAATATTATTCATATCAATAAAGTTCAACGTAAAGATATGGATGCATTTACATTAGCATAATTGGATTTCATACCACTATTTTTCTGTCTATATTTCTGTAGTGACTTGCATATAAAGACAGGCAACTACACATATCGATACAAGTTTTTTGTGTGTGCTCTGATTTCCATTATTAGTGGTAATAATAATATTTTCAATTGAATATATTTGACAATAAAAATACTTATGGACGATCTGTAATATTGGATATTTCATCTGATGGTATACCTTGAATTAAAGGGTTCTGTTTACATTTACTTGCTTGTTTTCAGTATGGCATTTTCAAAGATATTAAAATTTCAGAATAAATTTGGTGAAAGCAGTCTTACCGTAATAACCAGAGTTTGAAGGGTATCCCCATGTTGGAGCAGTGGTCTGACTCGTTTGAGCCTTAATTTGACCTTTTAGCACTGAAAAACACAATGAAAATTAAATATATATCGAGTCAAAATTAAAATTCTTGATCTCAATTGATTTTTTATGTTGATTTGTCCTTGTCGAATGTTTTACGACTATTGAAGAATCAGGGGGTCAATATATAAATAATTGATTTTGTTTTCACAGTTTTCTTTGTCGACATAGTTAAGCCAAAAATGAAACTAAAATTATTAAACAAGCAGTTCATCATACATAGCTTGCTCCATCTCAAAGTGAAGTAACATATCTTATCAACCAAATTCAATACAATATTTTTACCTAAATCAAAGAGGTCGAACTAATATAAATCACTAGATCATATTGTCTTCAAACATTCTATATCCCCATATGCTAATCAGTGATTTTCAATTATTTCAAAAAATGGTGTCTGCTATATCTAATTAAGAGGTAAATTCCACACTACTACTGTAAAACACTCGTTCAACCATTAAAAAACCCTTTAGTTTAAAATAAACTGTGAGTTTTAATCAAGCAGAAAAACCCCTGATATTATTTGACTTAATCTCATTTTCTCTCAGGTGAGACTGTAGAATGTTTTGTTTGTGATAAATAGCGACATAGCGGCTCCATTTGATAAAAGAAAACTGATTTAGTTGGCAATCACAGTGGGTCTTTAGTACTTTAATGATACACGGAGCTCGGAATGATTTCTTTTCATAAAATCTTTTCATCCGACAAATTAATAGAATAGTAGCAACACCTTAAGCCTACGGGGCTTTTTGTCAGTATTTTGTCCCAAGTAAATTAAATCTTTTGAAAAAGGATTGTTAGGATGTGATGATCTTGCTATAAAAACGTTTAAATTTTTGTCTGATCTTCCAAGCGGAATATTTGTTCTAACAAAAGCCTGCAGATCTTGTGGCTTCAACTTCAGCAAAAACTAAATGTAGCATGAAGTAATATCTGGATAATTTAAATCACATTTAATTGAATTATTCAAACAATTAAACTACATGGGTTTCATTAATTCGTTACGCTTTTAATGAACTTTCATTATTAGACTACAATATGTGATGAAACCTAAAGCACAAACATGGTCATTATAACCTTTAAAAAACAAAAACATTCGTTTTGCTGAATTTATTTTTAGACTCAAGGTTTATATGTCGCAGGGGAGATATTTGGAAAATAATACAAGTTTGACCAGGTCAATAAGCCTTTCTCTTTTAGTGACAAGATTTAAATAGCTGACTTTCCTCAACAAAAAAAGCTGGCTGTTATTTTTGTACTTGATACACTAAATTTAGCCGATATGGACACAACTTTAGTAAAGTTTGAACATTTTACAAATTTAGAAATGAACGAGTAACTAGAACTTACTATCTGTAGTAAAACCAGATGATGCCATTCCATAGCCTGTCTGTGTGCCAGGGTAGGCATATGCCGGCATGAACGTACTATTCTGACTCGGTCCCATATAGGCGTTCATATTGTCGGCTGTACTTGTAACTGCTGTTATGTTACTTTGCTGACTTGCACTGTCACTATTACTATTTTCTTGACTGGAAATTAAAATTCATCACATTTCATTAAACTTAGAGGTTTTAAAGTAGTTTTCTCTCCTGATATTATCAATTCACACATTTGAGTTTCGATTTCTTTGCTTGTAACTAAAATCTGAGAAATTATGGTAATTTTTCATTACATCATGATCTTATCCTCGATGCAGATTCAAGCTTTAAAGAGGACTTGTTTGAATTGTTCTGAAGATTACACTTTATCAAAATCTAAAACATCTTGCTTAAACTGTCCATTCTCAAGTGATTTATCTGACAGAAAAACATGGTAATAGAAATTAAGAGTTCCTAGTTGCAGATGCAGTGACGGCATTAAACGAGGGAAATATAAAGTAATTATCATTACTAAGGATGATAAAGAGCTGTGTATAAAAATTATATGAAACACCCAAACTGCTGTTTGACAAGAAAGCTACTTAAAACATTATGTAAAGGTAATTTGTAAAGTTTGAAGAGTTATCTAAAACCCTTCGAATATAAACACATCATCTGAAGTGGCTTGTAGATCCCCCAAATACCAAACTAAAGTTTCATTTGATAGGCTGAAGTGGTGCTTCACTTCAACCAATAGCTAAGCTGATAACAAGATTGTTTAGAATCTGTATTTTATTAACTAAGCCAAGAGCTGTCAATGTTTTATGTCGAAGAAATGACTTGCTTCTGATAAATTGTCTTTCCACCCTGTTTACAAGGCTTTAATTCAATTTTTGTGCATTTTCAAAACACATGTGAACAGATTTTGTTTTCCCAGTCATGCATAAGGGTACTTTATACTTGAATCTCAAGATAATTCTCAGTGTTGTATCAAAATCATCTAACAAGCACAAATCTGTATTATTTCTTTCTATTGTATCTCTTCTTTCAACTATAAATGATAACCCTTAAAAAATAATCTCTAATAAACATTAACCAAGGTATATAACCTACACGAGTAAATGGGTCATTCTTAAAATTGGATTCTACAAAGTATCTGCATTTAAGTCCTATGTTCATAGCATACAGCTGGTTTCAGTATAACCAAGCCATCTTATAGGTCTCAGTATTTAGTATTTATGGAAAAAAACTGTATAAAATATATCAAAAACTAATTACCTAAAATAATTTGTAGGGAAAGTTGAATTTGGGTATGAAGGCGAAGATTTATTTGGATCTCCTGAATAAAAAAAAAAAAAAAAAAAATCAACATGAAAAACAAATAATCAGTTTTTTTTATCAATGAAATAATAATAACATACATTACAAAATTCTAGAAATGTGCATGTAAAAATGGTGAAATTGTACTTATAGGCCTACTGTTGTTTAAGTTTCTGGTTGTTAGATATTGATTAGGTATTCTTATTAAGGTTGCGATTTAGGGTTCGCTTTGACCTTCAAATATTTTATATTTCATGAAAATAAATGACAGCAATAAAACTTTGTAACTAGTTGAATATTATCTGTATTTCAATCATGCAGAAATCTATCAATAGGCTTTCAATGATAAAGGTAGTTTGCCAGGCAACAAAACATGTCCACATAAGCAAAGTAATTTCAGAAATCATGGAAAATCTATAAACATAAATGCTGTGTATAAATCAATCAAATGGTAATTTAAAGCTCTATAGGGTTGATTAGTGTTCAAAGTGATCAAGGGCAATAACTGTAAAAGTAATTATCGAAAGCATTTAAAATCAATATAGACAGATGGATGGATGGAAAGACTAACAGGAGTCACAACAATATACAACAACATTGCGTAGGCATATTATCTTTGTCATAATTAATTTAACAATCTATGTCCTACACATTCAACTTTTATCAAACTGCTTTCTTTAGATCTACATTCTATAACATACAGCAAATATAGCCATAATGGATATATGCACGCGCTGGAAAAAGGGAATAACACAGTAGTGCCCTCTAAACATTTTCCTACATAGCATGCATATTTACTAGTTATATCAAACAAAGGGATTTTTATACACTAACATCTTCCCAACAATCACTAAATTTATACTTGGCTAGTAAATTTTAAACATTTTCTGGTGACAAATACACAGATAGACATCAAATCATTTTTTTTATATAAATAATTGTTATAATTGAATTTTATAAATGGATAAAAACTTGATATGTTCTGGTATCAGCAAAGTAAGCTGACATACAGAAAAACCTGAAAAACACTGCCTATGAGGTATACATATCCACACTAAATATTTTAAAATGATTATTAAATATTAGGAACACCATGTGGTGCACACCAGGTACACCATATATAATACCATTACATCTATACCATACAATGAACAATTAGCCAGATTATGTAATACTAACACAGCTACGCCATATTATGTGCATGAAGCCATACCGTAAACATCTAAGTACATCATATTATGCACATGCTGTCACACCATATCATAAACATGCAAGTACACTGTGCATGCTAGAATGCAAGTGAAGTACCTGTAAGTTGTTCAAGATCACTAGCAGAAGTGAAAGGTGAATCAGGGGAACTAGTGTCGAGGGTGGGTTCCGATTTTATCACAACTTAAATAAATAAAATTTTATCTTAAATATCCCTATTTGTTTTGGCATAAGAAAACATGGTAAGGATAAACAAAATAAAATGGTTTGAGGCCAAAAGAATAAAAGTTAAATATATATAAAGGCCTATTTGCACATCTTTTATTAACATAAAGCTTTCACTAAGAATTAAGATCCTATTCCATTTTCATAACAGATGTGCTACACATACTTTGGGGGTGGGGTACAGAAACTCAAAAGCTGCTTGTTTAAAATCCATTTTAACGCCAAAATAGGTTTCTTCTGGAAATGCTGTGCAATCACTCGCTATTCAAATATCAATCCTGAATAATTCTAATAAATAAAGGAACTTACTTGAAGAAGAATTATTTACATCGGACATAACCCACGATTTAGTTGAATTAAAAACGGTTCCATCACTTGCAGTTGATAATCCCAAAGGGCCTGAAAGTGAAATATAACATTCTAAATAGAGCATGAATCATTCGGGCAGTCAGTAAATGTTCAAATTATCTTTTGGGTACAGCACCTCTTAGTTATTTAGAAATTAATGTGGCCTACTTGAAGTAAATGACTTAAAGCTATCTTTTTGAAACAAAATTTGAATGGAAATAATAAAACCTTAACCCTAGGTATAAAGGTAAATTATATGTGGGGGTGGAAAAAGGACCAGCTGCCTCTTTATCCCAACTTTTTAGTAGATTTTAGAATTTTTGTCCTTGTCTCAGCATTGAAAGTTTCGCCAAAAGTCAAAATATGTTTGTTTTTCCATTTTTCTTCCAAGTGTTAATATCATTATAAATTAATAAATTCTTTAAATAGTATCTAGATTTTCATAAAACATTATAATTTGCAATTTTCTGAAAATTAATAGCATGCCAGTAAATATACATGATTATTTGATCCACAAAGGAATATTCCTAAAAAAAGTCAGCTAAACAACCAATCTTTTAAGAATCTGGGTAATCTAAAAATTGGTCAATTATGAATCATTTTTCCTTTATCAAAATCTATTTGCATATTTTTTATTATATTTAATAAAGCAGAAAATATTCACAAAAAAATAATTATTCGTAAATAGAGATTTTCATTCATTCGTTCACACTGGCAATTCATTTATTACACAAAATGAAATTCATTTATAACAATCTCGAAATTCCTTTATAACAATCTTTTTTTTTTTAGTTGCATTACTGCTTCAAAACATGATAAATATAAAATGTCAATATTAATGGATTTTTGATGGTAATTTTGGGGTAAACCCAGAAAAAAACCATAATAATTTGGATAAATATTTAGACAGTGTTTTCTCAAGATTATCAGGAAACTGTTGGAGGATTCATGTTTTAATACAAAACAGTAAACCTAAGTGACAGAACACAACACTTAATTAAAGGAAGAATTTTTCACATTTCAAAGGTCGGGAGAATTTATTATATCTATTATTCAAGGATGACAGTTTGTTAGTTAGGAATAATGATGTCTCCCTCATACATCATGTCTAGGCGAGCTGCGACAATTCTATCCTAGATGTCAAATGAATTGTGATTGGTCGACTATAGTGGTTTAGTGATTAGATGTGCTGATAATTTTGATTAGTCTATGAATGTGTCGGGGATTTAATGTGATGAAGATTAATCTTGTTTTAGCTATGAAATAGGGAACAATGGGGGGATCCATTTTGAACAATGGGTACCTTACTACACGCTGACTGGGACAAGTTTTATGACAAAATTCTATGGACTATCTCTCTAACTGTCAGCGGGTTTATTGACGAGTTGCAACAATGTACAACAATGTATCATATATTTAACAGTCAGATAATAATAAGAAGGGATTTTGATGCGCTCCACTTGTTGTCAATCTATGATGTTAGTTTATTTCAAGGATATCCTGTTGAGAACTGTTAAAACCAAGCTAAACACAAATTTTTAACACCATCATAATCCCATGACTAAATAAAATATATATTCTCCGTAATATGATCAACGAATGATAAAATATCATGCTGTAATTCGATCAAGAAATTTTAAAACATCCTTAATAATAATATATTTAACACATAAATCTTAAAATATTAACCTAATAGGGACAAATGTCAAGAATAAAATAAATAAAATCATGCTTATATAATCACACAATATCCTCTGTAAGGTACAGTTCTTTAATGTTTTAGCAATGATCATGAGGTTTCTATGTGTACTTAACTCTTCATTCTATAGAAATACATAGATTACAAACATTAATTTGTAATAAATATCGCATTTACTAGCAGAAAGATACTCACCATCAGTATTACCATTGGTTGTTAAGGAAACACTTGTCGAGGTATCCAATGTCTGTGGTAGTGATGAGGTGGTAGTCAATGGTGACCCGTTTGAACTGTCCAATAAACTACCTGGACTCGGTAAGGGTTGCAACTCTGATAATCTGAAGAACCAAAAAATGTTACATCAAATTTAGTTATCTAGTATTTTCTAATTGTTATTGATTCTCTGAATCAAATATGTTATGATTTCAAGCCAGGAGAGCTGTGTTTATCCTGGACACAGATGGCTGTGAACTGTTCAAAGAGTAAGCTTTTCCAATATCTTTTTCTAAATCTAATAAACCTGCCCTTGGCTACAGACATACAAAACAAACTAGTTATATGGAATCTGAGAATAGAATAATGAAACATATTTTAAGACATTTCATATTATATTCTATTGTCCGAAGGGATTGGTAAGTTTACATTAATGAAAATATTACAAATTATGTAAATTTATCCAGACAGCTATGCCTATATTTAAAGAATAACAATAAAATATAAATATCTTACAGTCACTTCAAAATCCACAAATAGATCAGATTTGCCTTATATTTCTAAAGAATTAAACAGTATTATCATTATCACTCTAAATCAAGAAACAAGCAAATGCAACACAACTTCAAACCAGAACCACAGTAGACAAGGCAAGCAAGGTTGTTGGGTCTTTTAAGCATATTTTTAAGCATAAATAGAAAACTATCATTTTATAAAAGTTTTCTCATAGATTCATCATGCATGAATGACAGAACTAGATTTTTGGCAATCTCCTCTCCAGTACAATATATGACATGACAAAGTTGACTTCGTTGTTAAAAAAATCAATCAAGTTTAATTCCTGTGTTGAGAGTGCTTTTTCCAAATAAATTTTATTGTCGAAAACATTTCAATCGTTGAGTGAATATTGTTTTACAAACCTTATGTGGTCATATTAGTTATAACTGAAATGTATTGGGTTTCAATCCTTGATTTTTGCAAGTCTATTTCACAATTTGACTGTTACTCTTGTCTAAAAGTGTGTCTATTATACTCATTTGGATGAATTAAAATCTGAGGTCCTATGTAGAGCAAACAAATATCCCTTAGAAATTGGAGTTTTGAAAGCGTGTAGGCAGAAAGTCAGTTGTGTGGAAAAATAAAATATATCCATATCACATAGCACATATAACCTTACAAAATGTCAGTCTCAGAATAACTGTATTGTGCCAAGGAAATTTCTTTCTATTTTAACCATTGACAAGGAAATTGAATTTTATGCTGTAATGTATCTAGTAAATCATCAAAAAGAACACAAAAACTGCACACAATTCATTCTTAATTCATTATGTACTTGGTCTTTGTTCCAATTTCTATAAATTTTTAGTCATAAATCTTGTATAAAACTTGAAATTACTTTTTATTATTTCTCTTAGAAGAACTGTTTTTATTGTCTAGGTGAAGAAACCTCGTTGGAATAGCTGTCAAGTTTGACTGACATCTCCAAGAGTTGATCAATCAGAGAATATTTTCTCAATCCTCTAAATTAATCCAATATGGCCGAGGAATATGACAAATGCTGCTGAAGAAAACTAGAGTGGTTTATGTTGTGCCAGAGAAATCTCATAACTGGTCCTTATGCCATTATTAACAAGCGATTACTATTAACAGATATTGTACTGATCATATAACCCCCCCTGTCAGTCGTTTACATTAATTATGTACCAAATGTATCTATTAATGGCACAAATAGTTCTATTTAAGTGGTAAGTGAATGTTTCAAACCAAAAAAATCATATTTGACCAAAAATCTAATACAAACAAGACCTAATAAAAACAATTCAAAATAAATGAAATCCACAAATATTTTGAATGATTGTTTAAATACATGTAGCTACTCTCTTTAAATAAGAACTGAAAATTAGTTGACCCCTTTTGAAATCTGTTAAAATTGTTACTGAGGTTAAAGTTTGATAATTGAGGCATTTTGACCTAGAGAGATACCAGTTTTGATGATCTAACCATCTGGGGAGAGCGAGAGAGTTTAAAATGAGGTGTTAATATTAGATGGTAGTAAATATGACTGATATGATGACAGACAGGGTGAATCTAATTAACACTTATCGTCATTAATTATAATAACACATTATTTTTATAGTATACTATATTATTAACAGGGCTGGTCTTATAAAATTGTTTGAGTTCAAAACTGTATGTTTCCAGAGCCCTTAGTTCACAAACAGTTTCAGTTGAATTCCAGAACAAATGTTCTTCTAGATCTACTTATACCAAAACAAAGATAATTTGATAACATTTTGTTTAAAAAGTTGACATTATTAATGGCCTGTGTTCTAAAAATTGCTGTTTAATTGTTTCATGGTTTATTTTAAGTGTAAAACAAGGTATTTTGATAATAATTCAAAATGTTTAATATTAATACAAATACTGTATGTAATAAATCCTGTCCCATACAAGGCACTCACCCACCTCAGTTCATATACTGACACTGTGAATTATCAGTGTAAATGAAAAATATCTACAAAGAAAAGTCACATACATTATATTATCTCAAGTTAGTAAACATAAAATTTCTATAATAAGTTGTAATTACCTTGTATTGTTTGATGATATGCTGTCATATACTCCAGAATCTTTTTCTAATCTCGTTCTCTTCACCTAGAAATAAATTAACACATACATATTAGAGGAAAAATTTTTTAATAACTAAGAAATTTGTTCTTACCATAATCTGTCAACTTTCTGATGCTGTTGTGTATTCCATAATATTAATGAGTAAAGTATACAATGTATGTTTATTCCAACCCTTACCATATTCAATATACACAATCTGTTATATAACTTATAAGATAACTGCCATCTAATAAACCTCCTTTTTGTCGGTGGAAGCGGACGTAAAATACAACTAACAACAACTTATAAACCTCCAGAAAATTTAAGCCATATTCAATACACATTGTCTGTAAGAAAGGTTTCCACTGTTGGAAAGATAGCTCATAACCATCTAATTAACACTAAGCATTAAATAATATTTCTATACATATTCAGATTTACACAAATTCAAACATTTTTATCAAATTTGTCAGTGTCCAGTGCATTGTGCATTTCATCAATCATGCTAGATTTGTATTTAACTCAAATACACATTGACCATTCTCCAAAGTTCACAATAAATATAAACTCTATGAATTGTACAAACCATCAGAGTTTCATCGATGACGAAAATGTGGATAAAAAGAAACCTACTAATTTTCAAAGAAATAATTATTTTGTAGTTTATCAACCAACAATAATTTAACCTTTCCAAAGAAAGAAATTAGCTGTTAATCTTATCTTTTTGGTCATTCTTCTAATTAACAGTCAAAAAGTACCACAGCAAAAAACAACAATGAAACACATCAAGTTTTTCACCAAGCCTAAATAACACTAACTAAAGCACAGAGCGTGAATTACCATGATTAAAGACCTCACCTGAAAGCCTGTTAATACAGGTGACTTAATGATTGTCTGTCATTCCTGAATTAAATACATCAACTTAAAACCCCCATTTAGAAAATTACCATCTGATTGAATGACTGAGAGAAGATAGCCAGGTTTTATTCTAACAATTACACTCTTTGTCTTGGAATATCGGAATAAGTGTTTTTACAATATGCTGTACAATATTTGCACAAAGAATCAGAATTATCAAAAAAGTGGATTAGCTTATAAAAACTCATATTTAAAAAGCTACAAAATCTATATTTCAAAGTTACTCAGCCTTACTGAGTGTTATTTCTCTTACAGAAAGATAGGATGCCAGGCAACAAAAAATACGCCCACAGCAGCTAAGTCATCTGGGCTGTTAACAAGTCTTTTCGCATATTTGTTCTTTTGTCAGTAATGAGAACATTTACAACACATGAAAATCTGATTACGAGTAATATATATATAGAGAAATGGGCTTTATTGTCCACTTGACATAAACTAGGTCATTTCAGGACTAATATTTGGTATAATTATATTTCAATAATTCGCTTGAGTGTAGGGGTCTTTAACAGTAGGACCCGGAGAAAACCCACAAGATTGGACAGGCGACCCTACTCTTTGTCACGTACAACTGGGGAATCGAAACGTTGACTCAATGACAGGCCTTATGATACAACGCGCACGTGCTAACCATTCGGCCATCCAACAACCCTGATTACGAGTAATAACCCATTAAGTAATTATCAGAAAACATTAGAATTTGTTTCGATTGATTGTCTCATGACCTTTAATAATTTATATTAACTTGAGCCTCTAGAGTGAATGAATGAATGAAATAGAGTTTTAGCCTCAAGAGTGTCCATATGACGCCAGAGACAGGCAGACGAGGGAGACGACAAGATACTTGCATATAACATCTGTACGTGAAAATTTGAAATATAATGTCATATATGTACAAGATATATATTAGGCCATAGTCAAATAAATAAAGTCAATATTTAATGCCAACCATTGTGTCTTTATGGTACATATATAATACATATACATGAAAGCATACATGACTGTGCACAATCTAGAAGAAAGCATATTGTGTATTATATCTGGAAAAATGTATATTGTGTATTATATCTGGAAGAATGTATATTGTGTACTATCTTGAAGACTGTATATTGTGTACTATCTTGAAGACTGTGTATTGTGTACTGTGTACTATCTTGAAGATGACATATTGTGTACTATCTTGAAGATGACATATTGTGTACTATCTAGAAGAATATATTCTGTTTACTTTCTAGAAGATTGAATATTACCATTGTTAAACCTGTCATTGCCAATATCATAAAATGTGTAATTTGTTTTTGGGCAGTGCTTCACAAATTCCAGTGATATCATTCAAGGTAATGTGTATAGCAACCATTTTCATAAAATGTATTCAGTTCAACTATACTGACTTTACCTGATAAATAGCTGAACCAACCTCAATTATACCAACAATAATATAGACAATGTATTTGGTCAGCCCAGAAGTTTAGATTGTGATAATTTGTAAATCATCACTAAATGATAAGTTAAATGTAAGATACAAAGACAATCTATTATAAAATATATATATATGAATGTTGAGCACTGGGTAGTTGTATTTTACCATCACTGAAATCACATATTGATATTGGAATAAACCATTTCCATTTATTACAAATACTGTTCGTGTTGTGAGTGTTCCAGGCACTAGTGGATAATACATGAAACCTGCACTACAAAAGATTTAACAAATCATATATACATGCATGGGGTTGGAATGGCCTAGTGATCTAGAGTGCTTCGAACTCTAGCTGGCCGGGCACCTCTAGCTTGCGGTTGTGGTTTTGATCACTGGTGTGGCGTATGTAGCTTGGAGATAGGGGCACCTTCTCAACCTTGTGGGTTTACTCCAGGAACACTGGTTTCCTCCCACAGAAAAGACCCCTGCGCGTGCGCTAAGCATAATTAATGAAGACAACTTGTCTACGATATCACCATCAGTGGAAGCAGATGTTAAACACGAATAGAAGAAGAAAATATACAATGTATAACAAACCGTAAATGTACTATAAAAACACACAAAATAACTTCCAAAAGGCAGAATTTCAATCATCATTTTTATGTCTATGCAGACATACTCATATATACTTTAAAACCAGTAATTATACATTTTATTCCATTCATAGGGGTTATTATTTACTGCACTGCCAATCTGCCAAGATTCTCTGTACCATAGTATTTGGTAAAGTATGAGAAAAAGACTATTTCTACCTTGAGCTTATAATATACATCCATTAATCATGGTCACAATTTATAAACATAACAGTTTAGCATTAATATTTTAAGAAACTTACATAATGACCTTGAGGTCATATGTTAGTACTTGTGTCTCAATTAATACAAGATCATAACCAGTTTAATGTAAAATACTAAACACCAAAATAGAGAAAATGTTTATTTCAAGTGTTTCAGGGTGTCTGAAGCATTTAAATTTCCGCCCTAATATAAACCAAATTTCCGTCCATGCCATAAACTTGGAGTAATAATGACTAGAATAATGTGTAAAAATTCCTCAGGTCGTCTCAATATTTATTCAGCTTTGTAACTAACGCCTGAAGCATGGATAATAAGCCGTCTTCCAACAATACTTGTACAAAAAATCAACAAATAAACTAAATTCTAGCATGTACAATATAAAATTAGTCCTCAATTGCCATAAATTGTTCAAATTATCAACAAATCTCATTAAAAACATTTTTTTTTTCTTCAAAATATTATTGATCAATTTTGGTTTTCATTGCCTCTATTAACTACAGAAAGAATCAGCTATGCTTTATGCATAATTGATATTAGATTGTAAAGTTTTGTATAACAGCTTCTGAGCTAGAATTATCCTCTTAATTTTCACAATTTTACACTTGAATACAGTGTAAAATCAGTGTTATAATTCAATAAGGTGGTTTATTTGGTGTGGAACTTCAAGACAATGTTTTCGCCTTCAATCAAAGTAAGAGTACATCATTCCATTGTACGTATGTACATATTCAGAAGTTTAACGAAGACGTTAATATTTAAACTTTACCGCTTTATTCTGTAACTTTATTTGACAAGCATAATTAACTTGACACAGCTTTAGTTATATCACACACGGCATGTTGATTCAAAACGCAATTAACTCCCCCTGAAATTTACTTGCCGTTTATTTTTTTCTCGATACAAAAAGAAACTGTGACGTTAAGTCAATGATAGCCTTATGTTACTTAATGTTGGAAAATTTGCCACAGGGGTGATAAATTCAACACAAAAGCTAATTTAAAACAAATTTATAGTAAATATTGTCACAGACAGCCAACGATATATTTACTCCTCAAATACTAGACCACAATCTTGACTAGAAATGTTTAAAAATAAAACGTCAGGTATTGTATAAGTGTTTCTTGACTTTTGACAAAAAACAGATGGACAAAAACTGAATAAATTTGTTACAAAAAACATGCAACAATAATGGCCTGTATTCTTTAAAATCAGAAACCTTTAACGACAATAAAAAAAAACCCGCTTTACTAGTGATTTATATGTATTTGCTTACTCAATATACATCTAAATAGAAATGTACAAAATATATCATTAAGATTTAGTGTGTATACTGACAATATTATATATACATGTATTAGGTAAATAGCAGATCACTGATTGTCACAGGAACAGTTTATTTTGTTGAAGAAAAATCTTTGAAAGCTGTGGGGAAAATCAATTTGTGTTAAAATTGTATTTAATGTTTAGTCTCTTTAGATGAAAGTGATAAGATTTTTATGTAATTCTTGGGATGTTATCAACTTTTATCAGCATGTTATCAGCCATCAGTCTAGAAGAAAGTGTTATCAATTAATTATACCATGATTAAGACTCAAAAGCTCTTGATAAGGAAATAGGTTGGGCGGTTTCTATTGGCTTTAACCATAAAACTATTAGTAGAGGTATCATCACCCTAATACCTAAACTAGTGGTGACTGAAAATTGAATTTATTTTTTTTTCTTCAAAGTTATCACTAATTGGGTTGATATTTTGCTTTAATTGTAAAAAAATCTTATCTTATTTCATGAAATTACTGTACGTTTTCCCTTTTTACAACAAATTTTTCCAGTCTTTCATACAAATGTAGATGACA